CAGTCACAAACAGAAATGCTCGTCACCTCCTGTTTCCATGGAGTCACCCTACATCTCCCCACCCACTGCCTTTCTGGAGGCTCATGGCTGTAGCTCTCACCCACTCTACAGAGCAGGAAGCTAGAAGGAGTCTCCTTCCAGGCTTTTCACTTTTTGAGAACAGTTAAGTCCCTAACAGTTAAGCCACCATGGCTGGTTGCTGGTTTGTAGCTCACTAAAATCATAATCGGCACAAAGACCAGTTCACGGGACACCTCTTTCAGTAAGCCTTCCTAGATTCCCCTGCCAGATTTAATCTGGTGCTCTGTATTTTTATCGCATGTGGTTGGTTATTTCATCATCACAGTTGACATACATTGTGTCTCCAGATCACCAGGTATACCTGCCCATCACCCACAATAAAATATAAATATCCTGGGGCAGACCCATCTTGCTTGCCCAGGTATCCACCATATTTCTTAGCCAGTGCCAGGCAAGATGATGTAGAAGAAAGAGCAAAGGAATCACTCACGGAGCTTGGGCTCAAGTCCTAGCTACCTTGTCTTACCTCTGTGGTACTGAGTTACCTCTTTAAGCTGCTGTTTCTGCATCTATCAAACTATAATCATATTCATTTCCTGGGTGTTGTGATGTTCAAATGAGTTAATCAGTATGAAAAAAAATTTGGAGATAAAAAAGCACCACTGTACAAATGGAAATTATCATTAACATCCATTTATGATAAGGGTTGTTGAATCAGAGCCTTGCCATTCACTTAGGACCACAAATAGCAACACACATATACCCCCTACAGGCATGAGCACAGCTCTCAAGTCAAATCAACTTGAACTTCCCTTGGAGGCCACCCAAGCTAACCTTAACCACAGATAGCTCATGCTTAATGACATGGTGCTGATTTGAGAACTAGTTGAGCTTCTATATGTTGCTTTCTTTGGGCCAAACACAGTGTCATCACATTATGTATTAACATCTGGAGCTCCTGTTCCCCTACCCTCAAGACACGAGGGAGGCCTTTATATGGCTTAACAAGTGAGAGAGCTGGAAACAAGACCTTCTAACCCAGGCTAACTCTGGATTTGGAGAAAGACATGCTGGCCCCTTCCAGCAGCCTGGAGCAGCAAAAGGAACACCACTCCAGGCCTTCACCCAGGCCTGGCAGGAGGTAGAAAATCAAGCCTGGCCCAGGGCTAGCTCAGGTTGGGCATCCAGGGGGCTGAGCCCAGTGTCAAAGGGCCCCAGCCCTCTCTCTGTCATGATTCGGAGATAGTCAGTATCCAGGTTGCTTGTTCATTCAACAGACACTGCTTGAGTACCTACTGTGTGTCATGTCCTACATTTGGCCCTGGGGACACAGACTGAACCCTGTGTCCAAAGAGCCCCAAGACAGTGAAGTATTAGGGAAGGAATGGAAAATAAACAAGTACCTGTTAGGCACCCTCCTTGGGCCACGCTCTGTATTTGATGCTTTCAAAAATTTCATTTAATTCCTATACCAATCCTTCAAGGTATAGGAATTTACAAACTTATTTAAATAGGTTTGGCCAACTTTACCAGCTTAAGGTACAAATAAAGTCTATTTTTAATATTCAAGTTACTCTTACCAGCACCTCCCAGATTAGCAGGAAGACCATCACAGGTCTCTCTGTGTGTTTCTTTTTCTCTCTGTCCCTCCCTCCCTCTTGCCTCTTGCTTAGAGAGAAGAGAACCTCAGAGCAGCACTTTTGGTGGCCTGGGTTGCGCCTGCCATCACCAACACATATGGTTGGATGCTGTCCTTACCCAGAGGTGTGATCCTGCACATCTGGTCTAGCAGCAGCTTCTTGGAGAAAGGCGGTTGGGGAGGACAAGGTCATCCCCAGGGCTGCGGCCTCCTGCGGGGAACTCCTGCCCTTTAACAACCACCATCCACACAGTCCCCAGACAGGCCACAGTCATTCTCCAAGCCATACAACTCAGCACCACCCACCTTGCCAGGGCAAGTACAAGCCAGGCCCCACCTCTCTCCAGACCCACCTTGTTCCTCTCATGCCCCAGCTTACTCAGACTGGCAGGAAATTCAACATCTCCATCTAGGGGCTTCTCCCACCTAGACTATCAGAGAACAAGTGCTGTGTTATAGGGGCCGGTTCAAATTTGGGTCTGTATTTCTCAACAGCAAATGCATAGAGAGATACTTGTGGTATTAGTATTACCTCCACTAAAAATGAGAAAAACGAGATGGCAAGGGATGAAGTGACATGGTTAAAACCATGTGGCTGGGAAGTGGCAAGACCAGGAGTCAAGCCCAGGCCTGTCAGATTCCAAGTGTGGGCTCTTTCCCATGCCACTGTTGTCTCAGTCAGGCTCCCCCAAATCAGAGCCGAGACAAGGCTTTGGGTTTAACTGCTTGGTTTCAGAGGAGACATCAGCAGTGTTGGGGGAGTGGGGAAACAGGCAAGGAAGGAGGTGAGTAAAAGGTGCCCTAATGCACAGGTGACCACTGTGGGCAACCAGGGCTCAAGCCCAGTGGGCACCTCTAGGCAACTGCAGAACACACCTGGAGTGGTCCCATGGAGGAACGAGGGAGCTGGGGTATTTATCCACCAACTCCTGCCCATCATTGGTTGAGGACACTCCCAGGGAGTGTGAACTGCTTAGGACTTCCCACCTGGCCCGCTCTAGGGCCTAGAAGCTTCTGCAGCCAGAGAACTGCTCAGGCAGAGGCAAGTCTGCAACAATAGCCCTCCATCAGGGTACAGATAGGGCCCAGCAGTAGGGAGTCCAGGAGCAGACACCAGTGCTGGGCATGTGTTAGCATGATCCAGGAGGCTGCGCCCAGGCAGCAGCCTGCCAGGTGCAGGACAGGCCCTCAGGCAATAGTCATTAGAGCAGGGCAAGGGGGCGTGGGGCCACAGCCCTTGGGCAGCCTTGAAGCAGGACTCCAGACTCAGAGAAGATTCGAGGGAACTGGGTAGAGCCAGCTGGATGATGGCAATAGGGACAGCTGTCCTTTTTCCTGGCAAGGAGACCCAGTGGATAGGGGTCTAATGGGGCAGAGAAGGGTGGGACCCTGTGGGCCCTGGCCAAGCTGGGATAAGTCATGTCCCAAGGACAGAGCCAGGAGAGCCCAGGGCAAGTCCTGAGTACTCGGATGAGAACTCGCGTTGGTTAGGAAGGTGTTTAGCTTCAAGGAACAAAATCTTGAGTACAAGCAGCCTAAACAAGTAGGGTCTGGTGTTCGCACTTAGCATGAACACCAGGAGCAGAGAGCAGCTGTCCTATCCTCAGCAGCTCAACACTGCTGGCTGACATCTAGATCATCCTCTTCGCCCTTGTCTTAGAGTCAGTAAGATTGCTGCTGTCCCAACCATCACGCTGGGGTTCAAGGTAAACAGAAGGGACCAGGGTTGTGCCAGCATCTGAAGTTTTCCTGGCAATGACCCCAAAGATTCCTGCTCACTGGCTAGACCTGAGTCACATGGCTGGGAACATCGTGAAGAAAAGTGAGATGAGATTTATGAAACAGCCAGACAGGAGGCAGAGAGGGAGTGCAACCCAGGCGAGATCGAAGACAGGAAGGGTACTGGCTTCTGCATTCCTCCCCACTGGGCAGGCCACGGCAAGGGCACGAGCAAGCTCAGGATGGGAAGTGCAGGACCCAGTGTTTCTCCCGGTGCTCAGGAGGAGCTTATTACTACTGTGGCATAAGAAATCACCCTGGAACCTAGCAGCTTAAAACAATGCCAAAGAGACACAAAAACCAAACAACTCCATTATGGGCAAAAGGCCTGAACAGACGTTTCCCCAAAGAAGGTATCTGAATGGCAGCAAAAACAGGAAAAAATGCTCAACATCATTAGTCATCAGGGAAATGCAAATCAAATCCACATGAGATGTCACCTCATACCCATTAGGATGGCTATTATCAAAAGAACAGAAAAAAAACAACAAAAAAATATGAGTGCTGGTGAGGATGTGAAGCTGGAACCTTTGTATACCGTTGCAGAGAGTGTAAAATGCCGTGGCTGCCGCAAAAAACAGCATGGTGGCTCCTCAAAAAATTACAAATAGAACTACCATACAATCCAGCAATCCCACTTCTTGGTTTATACCCCAAAGAACTGAAAGCAGGGACTCTAACAGATATTTATACACCCACATTCATGGCAGCATTATTCACAGTCCCCAAAAGGGAGAAGCAATGCAGGTTTCCATCTACATATGAACAGATAAGCAAAATGTGGAATATATATGAAATGGAATATTATTTGGCCTTAAAAAGGAAAGAAATTCTGACACATGCTACGATAGGGATGAACCTTGAAGGGATTATGCTAAGTGAAATAAGCCAGGCACAAAAGGACAAATGCTGTGTGCTTCTACTTATATGAGGTATCTAAAGTAGTCACATTCATAGAGACAGAAGTAGAAAGGTGGTTACCAGGGACTGTGGGGAAGAAGGAATAGGGAGTTAGTGTTTAATGGGGACAGAGTTTCAATTTGGGAGGATGAAATAGTTCTGGAGACAGATGGTGGTGATGGTTGCACAACAACGTGGATGTACTTAATGCCACCAAAATGTACACTTAAAAATGATTAAGAAGGTAAATTTTATGTTATATATATGCTACTGCAATTAAAACAACCATAGGCCAGGCGTGGTGGCTCACGCCTGTAATCCTACCACTCTGGGAGACCGAGGTGGGCGGATTTGAGCTCAGGAGTTCAAGACCAGCCTGAGCAAGACGAGACCCCATCTCTACCAAAAATAGAAAAATTAGCTGGGCATGGGGGCACATGCCTGTAGTCCCAGCTACTCGGGAGGCTGAGGCAGGAGGATTGCTTGAGCCCAGGAGTTCAAGGTTGCTGTGAGCTAGGCTGATGCCATGGTACTCTAGCCAAGGCAACAGAGTAAGACTCTGTCTCAAACAAAAAAAACTATAATCATTTTATTATCTCTCACAGTCCCTATGGGTGAGGATTTTGGGAAGGGCTTGGCTGGGTAGTTCTGGATGGTTCTGGCTCAGGTCTTTCATCACACCCTTATCTCCTTGAGGGCAGGAGCCAAGTCACAGTCATCTGACCTACTAACTGGCTGTTTCATCAGTGCTCTTCCAGCCTTGGGAGCCTCTGGGAGGGCTCAGACCCTGGACAGCCAGGCAGCAAAGGGGCCCAGGGGCCGAGGCCCACTGCCAAGAAGGAAGTGCCACACAATAGCCCCCAAGAGGCCTGTCCCTCTCATAGCCAGATTTGCACTTCCAGGGACAAAGGAGACTTCCTCTGTAGGAAATGATACCCAAGGGAGGGCTTCCGGTAGGAGTAAGCTGAGAAGGGGTTGGGGAGGAGGGCAGGAGAAGGTGAGTTCTGGGTACTCACTGGGCCTGGTCCCTGGGCACCAAAGGCTGCTGGCAGAAACCCTAACTTCTCATTCTCCCTGGGTCTGTCTTTGACCCTAGAGGTCAGAGGCCATGAGTCATGAAAACACTCCTTTGAATCCCAGCTCCACTTTTGCAGGCTGTGTGACTTTATGCTCCGCAGCTACTCTTCCCTCTCTGTAAAAGGAATTCAATGCTTATGGTGCATCTAGGTGCTCAGGGTGTAATTGCAAGACCCAGACCAGACCCAGGGTTGCTCTCAGGCACGTCGTTGCTCTCCTGGGCAAAACAGACAAAAATAAACAAACAGAGACAAATAAAAATAAATAACCATGAATCCTAAGTGTGAGGCAGTTGAGGTGTTGATTAATCTCACCCCTCACCTCCGCATTTGGAGTCAATTAGGAAACAGAGTCGCCAGGTGGGAAGGGCTGAAACGTCCGCTCTGGTGCTGGAAAGCGGAAGTGAGACGCTGTTGGAGAAGTCATTCTGACTCAGACCCAGATGGGCGCTTGCTCCTTCCTCCTGAATCAAACATAACCATCCCAGGAAGGAGCCAAGCAAGGCAGCTAGAATGGGGCAGGCACCCACCAGGGCAGAGATGGCCAAAGGGAGCCACCCCGAGGGCGACGTGGACTCAGGATCTCGCCCCCAGGAGTGGAGTGGGCTGCCTCCATGGAAATCCCGAGGGACCGGAGGCTGCCCCATGGCAGTAACAGGTTTTAGAAAGGAGCCAAATGGAGGCTGATATCTGGGCTAGGGCAGGTGGTAACCCAGCCAGTGACTGGACAGTAAGGTGGAACCATCTGTTAGGTGTACGTGTAGACATCTTTTCCAGAAAGAAGGACCGACAGATGCACAGCCCAAGGACGGAAGACCCTGCTGAACGACAGGCACACAGACTGAAGAGGGAGGACTTCCGTAAAGCCCAGGCAGAGTTCACCTCTACACAGGGACATCTCGAGAAGCCTGTGAGCACGTGCATGTCCACCATCAGCCGATGTGTAGGCTTAGGAGAGGGTGCCTTCCTGCCACCCTTTCTTGTGACCCTCTGCTTGGAGCAAGGCCAAGGGGAGGCCATGAAGAGAAGCCAGGAGAGTATAAGGGAAGCAGAGAGGAGAGGGGAGGGATGTGGGGACAAGAGGAGAGGGAGAGAGCTGGGACTTAGAAAGGGGATGGGGGACCAGGGGGGGGGGTGGGGTTAAGGGCCAGAGCAGAGGACAGCAGGCGATGGCGGCCTGCAAAACTGCACTGGGAGGCCCTGAGCTAGGGTGTAAGATGTGCCCATCCCCAGAAGCTCACCGGTGCTGACCCACCACCCCTGCAATTGTGGAGCAGGCCAGCAGCCCTCCCAGGTGAGGCAGGGTCAGATCATTGTCCCTATGTGTAGCAGGCTGAATTATATTCCCCAAAAAGATATGTTCAAGTCTTAACCTTTCAGTTCCTGAAACTGTGACCTTATTTGGAAAAAGGTAATTGCAGATGCAAGTTAAGGATCTGAAGATAACATCACGCTGGATTTGGGGTGAGACTTGAGCCCAATGATGAGTGTCCGTATTAGAGAGGAAGACACAAAGGGAATACCAGGTGAAGACAGAGGCAGAACAAGCCAAGGAAAACCAGGAGCCACCAAAAGCTCAAAGAAGCAAGGAAGAGGTCTCTCCTAGAGCCTTCAGAGGGAGCACAGCCCTGCAACACCTAGACTTCAGACTTCCAGCCTCATCAACTGGGAATAAATTGCTACTGTTTTTAGCCACCCAGTTTGTGGGCATTTGTTACAGCAGCTCTGGAAACAAATACACTGTGGGACACCACAGCCCACTCCAGGGTCCTTCGAGGCTGCCAGCGAGTGACAGAAATGCAGGTCTCGACACTACCTCGGCACCCTCCTCCCACCCCTCGGCCTCTGGAAAAGTCACAGGGAGCTCAGCCAGGGCATCTGGGAAGGAGGAGAAGGGAAGACTGACAGGAGCATTCCAGGGGACCCCGCTGACACTGCAGGGCTGGTGGCTGATGAAGCTGCCGCCTGTGTTGCTGGGCCACCTCAGACCTGCAGACCTCAAGGGGAAGCAATCTCGGTGAAAGTGCTGCCTGTGGTTAGCGGTCAGGCGAGGAGGAAGTGGGGAAGCTGCTAAGCTCTTGCGGCCGGCGGGGCACTGCAGCCCTGCGGGTGCGCCTCTGTTCCCAGCAAAGCTAGCAGCAGAGGTGAACTTGGCCAGGATGCTAATCAAGCTAAGCTTCTGGGCCCCCTCACTTGCACAGACCTCTTTGAAAGCCCTGTACCTGTTTTTGTATTTTTCTTGAAGGGGACGCCCCCGCCCCTCAATTGTATAAGCATAGGGTCTACAAACCCTGGTTCCCTCCCTGCTAACACCAGGGCCACCAGGGCACACTGCTCACACAGAGCTAGTTGTGTTGATGTTTTCCTGGGTTTTCTGTCATCCGACCATCCAGCCATCTCTATGCAATCATCCATTTGTGCTCCCGGCACCCAAGCAACAGAAGTTATTGAGTCTCTGCCATGGGACATACGCCCCACTCTCAAGCAGCTCATGATGCAAGGCAGGAGAAACAGGGCACACAGGAAGATAAGAAGCAAACAAACCTGTGCTGGCCTGATGAGCATGAGGCAAGAGATGAGCTAAAGGAAGAACTGTGAAGGGAACAGCTGGCTCTAGCTGGAAGTCAGGACAGCCCCACCAGAGTTTTGAAGGATGTGTAGGAGTTCACCATCAGACAAGGGAGAGGGCAGCTTAAGCAGAGGGAACGAGCATGGACAAAGGTACACGGCAGTGCGAGTCACTTGGACATTCGCAGGTGACTTCACCTTCCTGCCAGATGAAAAAAGGGAGAGAGAGGGAAGGCCTATGCAGTGAGTGGAGAGAGCCGGGGCCCTGAGTGAGTGTGGTAGTGTCCTAGGGCTCCTGTAACAAAGTCTCACAAACTTGATGCCTTAAAACTACAGAAATGTGTTGTCTTACAGTTCTGGAGACCAGAAGTCAGAAGTAAAGGTGTCAGCAGGCCGTGCTCTGTCTGCAGGCTCCAGGGAGGATTCTTCCTGTTTCTTGGCATCATGCTTGGCATTCCTTTCCTTGCAGCTGTGCCACTCCACTCGCTGCCTCCACTGTCACATGGTGTTCCTATGTGTCTGTCTCGTCTCCTCTTCTTATAAAGACACCTGTCATATTAAATTAGGGCCCCCAACTGGGTCTAATTCGATTACATCTGCAAAGACACTATTTCTAAATAAGGTCATAGTCACACATAGTGGGAGTTAGGGGCTCAACAAATCCTTTGGGGAGACACAATTCAACTCACCAGAGGGAAGAATCATCAATGGGACTTGCTGTTGATTAGATGACATGGGCACAGGGGTCAAGGGGGCGCAAAAAGCAGAGAGGAGCTGAGGAGTCCCTGGAGTTAGGAGGAAGCTCTGATCCACGCCTATTGGGACTGGATGGCCCTGGCCAGCAACTGGGGTTTCTGAGATGAGCTGTACACAGTCCATGGCCTCTGGGAGCTCCTGGTCAAGCAGGGAGGCAGGAAACCCAGTCCTGCCAGCTACAGTGATGACCATGTATTGGAGACACTTGGCAGGGACACAGGAGCTTCCTCAGGGGCAGGGAAGGCCCCACAGAAGTACCAATAGGACCAAGTCAAGAATGCTTGTCATCATCTTTAACCAATGGCGCCCAGGTGTGCCTGTCCAGCCTGGCCTCTCCTGTTTGAAGTCCAGCCACCTATCCTTTAGAGCAGACTTCTCCAACCCTCTCCAGCTCCCACCTCAACCTGAGCCTTACTTTTGCTTGTTCCTGATGTCCCTTCAAAGCTTCCATAGCTTTAGGCAGCAGGTAAAGGAAAACCTTTCCCAGCTGGTCTGCCTCTGCCCTGCCCCCATAAGCTCCAAGTCTGATTTCCTTGGCCTCCTAAATTTCACCTTGGCCTTAGGCTGTTGGGCCCCAATTCCCCCAGGGGGCTCTGGGTGGCTGCCCCACCCACTCTTGGCTCCCAGAGATGGTCTCCACCAGACCCTCTTCCAGGTCCACACCTTCAAGACCTTGTCTGACCCCCCTTCAAACAGGGTGGATGGCCCAGGTGAAGCATCTGGACACTCCTTCTGGTGTTCTCTCATCCATTTTGCACTGAGGCAAACTGACACCTGGGAGCCCACAACCTCATCTGTTCTCACTCTGGAAGCTGGTAGCAGGACTCAGGCTTGGAGAAAGGGGAGACCCCAAGACCTGGGCAGTGGGTCCAGGGCTCCAGGAGAGCTGTGTTGGAAACAACAGGTGGAGACAGGATGCTGATGACACATGTGGGAGGCAAACTACTGCTGCACATCATACCGCTAATGGATTCCAGCTCACTCCCATCCAGATTTTCTTTCTTTAATCCTTGATAAGGTGTGCCGGGTCCTTGTGGTCTCCTAGGCTGGACTTCATCCCTCTGAGACCACTGGACCTGTCCATGGCAGGATCCCCTAGAAGCACCTAGCCAAGATTTCCTCAGAGTGCAAGTAAGAACTACAGAGGTGCATTTGAAACAGGGCATCTGTCAGGCTGCCTTGACCCCTTAAGGTCAAGAGTGCACACCTGCTTTACTTCTTTCTTCCTCTTCCTCTAACCAGGATGGCCTGGAGCACTTAGCATCTCTCAGCATCATTTCACATCTTTAAAAAAGGAACAGTGGTCCCCCGGTATCTACAGGGGATTGACTCTAGGACCCCCCACTCAGATATCAAAACCCAAGGATGCTCAAATTGCTTACATAAATGGCATATTATTTGCATATAACCTACACACATATTCCCATATACTTTAAATAATCTCTAGGTTACTTATAATACCTAATACAATGTAAATGCTATGTAAATATTTGTTATACTATATTTTTGAAATTTGTATTTTTTTACTATTGTATTGCTATTTTTTATTGTGTTTTTTTCCCCCACATATTTTCAATTCACTGATGGTCAAATCTGACTTGCAAAAATGGAGGGCCAATGATAATTGTGGTACTTCTCTGAAGTTTGTTGGAAAAAATAAATAGGACAATACATATAAGGACTTGGCACAGTTCCTAGCAGATGTTGTATATTCCACAGGAAAACTATGACTAGAACAAAAGACAAGCCCACAAAAACCAAAGCCCAAGGGGATTAAATTTACTGGGGCCTTTAATTAAAATACACACAAATTTTTGCATCTATGGAAAAGTAGATGTCTAAGATTGATGGGCTTGAAAATGGAATCAGGGATATACACTAACTGGGCCATTTTTTTGTATGGTGAGTTCCTCTTCTATGCATGGTCTACTTCCTATTATTGAACTCTACCTTTCCCGCTTACTCAAATCTAGTTCCTCTTTTTGTTTCATTTTCTCATTGTCTCAGTCACATTGGAGCAGAAAAATGCATACTTTGAAGGGATTTCACATGCACCCACTGTTTATTCTTATGCCACTTAAATGTCACCTCTGCTATGTACATAAGCCCGGTTGAGATGAGCACTTAGAATGGGCAACATTTGGAGGGTTTGGCCTCACAGATGGTCGGCTCTCTGGGTTGGCAAATTCCAGTCTGGCTTCCTTTGCTGTTGTCACGGAGTTGCCGTTGCCATGGCATTTGTGTGTGTGAGGGAGAGGATCGTGCATCTCGTTGGCTTCTGGAACACTCATCCAGAGCCTCGGAACAAGGTGGTGGGAAGAATATCTGCAGGGAGAATAAAAGAGACTACAGAGTGTAGGAAGGAGCCATTCTGGGCTCTTGTACCCTGTGTTCATGGAAGCTGGAGGAAGAGGGAGAGGTGCCTTGGCAGTCTCTAAACTAGGAGATGGAGTGAGGTGTAGTACAAATTTGGGTAGGGGTGGCTGCAAGGCATGCTGGGGCCTCAGCATGGGGGCAGGGGAAGTCAGATTGAGGGGCTTTTAGTGGCTCTATGCCTACCCTCCCAACACCAGCCAATACAACAGCCCAGGTGACATTTTAAAAACATTAATTATAATATTCCTCTGTTCAAAACCCTTCAGTGGTTTCAATTACCCTCAAAATAGAATCTAAACTCCCTTCATTGCCTACAGAGCATCACATGATCCAAACTCCACCTCTCTGTTCTCATTTCTTCTCTCTTCCAGTTTCACTCGCCACACTGTAGCCCAGTGGACCTTCCTTCCACTGTCCCTCATGTTTGGCAAGTTCATTCCCACCTCAGGGCCTTTGCACAGGCAGTCTCTTTTGGGTGGAAGTCTCTTTCTACAGGTTTTCACATGCAGACTCCTGCTTGTCATTCAGATCTCAGGTGCAATGTCACTGCCTCAGAGAGCCCCCCACCCCATATGAAATGTAGTAGATCCCCCTGGATCTACATTTTCTTCATGTCACCCACAGTTGTGATCTGTGTTTGTTATCTGTCTCTCCTGATAGAAGGCAGAGCTTTCTTTGCCTGTTTCCCAAGAACCTAAATCAACATATGGCACATAAAAAAAGCCAGCATTTGTTAATGGACTCTGAATTAATGACCACCAGCATTGGAACCCATGTTCTCTTTCCCTCAAAGCCAGTGCTCTTAACTCTGTGGAATGAACAAGATGCAAAGGCCTGGGTAGGTATCGCCCAGCCTGTTAGGAGGGGCAGACAGTACCACAGAAGCCCTCAGTCACAGCCACCTTTCTGAGGACACTTCATTTCTGGGATCAATTCTTTGATGCTTAGTTTGGCTGAACTTGTCAAGCTGTATCATACAAAAGGACACTCTTCTAGACTCCTGCTATGGTTTGAAAGTGTCCCCCCAAAAGTATGTGTTACAAACTTAATCTGTGATGCAACAGTGCTGGAAGGTGGAGCCTAATGGGAGATTTTTAGGTCCTGAGGGCTCCACCCTCATGAATAGATTAATGCAAATTATAAAAGGGCTTAAGGGGCGGATTGAATAAAAAGTAAATAAAAATAAAAGGGCTTAAGGCTGTGAGTTGGATCTCTTGCTCTCTCTGGCCCTCTCTCATCCTTTCATCTTCTGCCATGAGATGATGCTGCACGGAGGCTCTCACCAGATGTCAGACCTTGATATTGGACTTCCCAACCTCCAGAACTGTGAGAAATAAATTTCTTTATAAGTAATGTGGTCTGTTGGATTGTTATAGCAACACAAAATGGACTAAGACAAATCCTGACCTTGTTCTTGACAGCAGACCTCAAATCTTAAGTTTCTCCAGACTTACAATTTCCTCATCACCTCCTCAGTCCAGCAGATCTGTAACCATGATTCCTGAACCTCTGCCATACTTTTTCACTGCCCAGACTTTGAAGCCCAGGTTTCAGCCATGTTCCATACCCGGGCAAGACTGACTGAACCCTGGAGAGCTGGGATACTCTATAAGCAGAACTCTAAATATGTGGAAGCTGGTCTGTTTGCCCTTGGGGAGCTCACACTGGGGTGGAGATTCAGAAATCTGCATTTTAACATCTAGCCCAAGTGCCTGATGCAGGTGAGCAAAACCACCACCACCCAAGCAGCACTGCTCATCTGATGGCTGAAGAAAAGCTTGGAAAGTGGGGTGGAGTCCCAAGTTTCCTGGAAATCGATAAAGGAAAATAGCAAGTACAAGACCATGCCAGGGGAGGAGAGGGTGGGAATGCCTGTGCTCAGATCCAAGGGTCGGGTGTGGAGTGGGAAATTTAAGAAGAGAGGAAATGAGGTGGCAGGATGGGATGGGCAAGCTAGGAAGGAAGAGAGAGGGTCAAGGGTATGACTGTACTGGAAGGGAGCACCTGGGTTAAAGCTAGGCATGAGGAAGTAATAAAGCCTCATGCTCGAAGAAGCACCCATTTCTTCTGTGCTTACTGCTTACCAGCCACCTGCTAATTTACTCATCTACTGTTATCACATTCAATCCTTGCATCAATTCTAGAGGTAGGTGTAATCGGCTATTCTTTTCTATAAGACAGGAAAACTGAGGTACAGAAAGGTAAGCAACATGTCTAAGGGTTTTGAAAGAATTAAATGTCAGAGTCAAGGTTCCAGCCCACATCAGTCTGATTTACAAATCCATGTAGTTAACAGAGGCATTTCCACTCCCCTCCTCAACAAATACTACTACCAGGATATAAGGATAAACAAGGCAAGATTTCCACCTT